TGACTGTGGAAATTAAGTGTATTGCAAAGTTGTATTGAGAAAGAATAAACTAGTTTTATTTAAGAAAACACTTGTATCGCTGAAGTTTCTCGGGAAGAATTTCTACGGGAAATTAACAAACGAACAGAGACGTAACAATATATTTGCAGCGATAGATTTAAACAGAATTACCGATTTTTCGGTTTAACAGTTAAAACTCGATAAAACACCATCAACACAATTAAAGAAAAGAATTAATTAGGCTTTGTGTTATAAAATAGTAAAACACTGGAAAGGCCTTGTGCGGTGAGTTTTTAGACAACTTTTATTAAAACGATGTGTAGAGGGGCTGCTAAGAAAATACTTTCTTCTTTTGCCCAGAGCAAACTCCAGCAGGGAAAGTACTGATATACGTGTAATGTAAGATGTAATTACGCTTTTTTATGTTTCTGCAACATATCTAAGCTGTAATACTTTCAACACGAAAAAAAAAGATTACTAAATGTTCATCGCCAAAAGTGATATTACAACCAAGCCATTATTTATTTATTGCCCCCCAGTGGCACGGCGGAATGTCTGCGGACTTACAAGGCTAGAATCCGGGTTTCCATACCCGTGGTGGGCATAGCATAGATAGCCCGTTGTGTAGCTTTGTGCTTAATTAAAAACAAATAATTTATTTGATTATTTTGTAGCTTAAACTAATAGTACATATTAGTTACCTTGCTGTACGATTACTGATGCAAGCTTTTGTATACTACCGTCGTAGGATATAGGGGGAATTACTGGTACAATATAACACATACAAGTACCTGATGCATTATAAATACAATAAAATGTTGAGACGAAACGTTTCACGAATTCATCACGTGAGAAATGTCAAGCTAAACTCTCTGAATTACAAAAACAGACTTAATCGTTACTGTTTGCCCTACTGCAGCCAACCAGATGAAGCTTGGTATTAAACAAAAGGCCTCGTCGGAACTAGATATAGTAGGTATAGTGTGAGTGACATAGTATTTCTTTGCTTTTATTCCCAAGCTTTTAAAATTTCATTCTTGGAAATGTTTGATGAAAATTACGTACCAAGGTTTCATAACAATAGGTATTTAACTAAAACGTTCAAGTTAAATTAAGTTATAATACTAATTATTCTCTTCATAATATATAATTTGTTGACATATGGTCGTTGTTTAAAACGCACGACTCGCACATGTTTACCTTTAGCGAGCAGCTATTTGTTTTTCTTGAACTATATAGCGTTTATATTTCCAGGAAATATTATATTCAAATAGACATAACTGTTTGAATAGAGGGCACTACAGTCACTCATATTTAGGTCATTTGTTCTTTTTAGAAATGAAATAACAAAAATGAATTACCTCGATGTTAAAATTACACTTTAAGTGACGTCACAACTAAGTGCACTATTTTATTAGGCGTAACGTTCCACTGGTGAATGGATTAGGATCTATAGTTGTTAATATAACTATATATGATGTCCCTTCTTTCTATATTAAAAATTCCGTTCAGTAGTCAACGGAGTTTTTGCGTTTATTCATTTTTACTCCTATTTTTTCCCAATTAAACTTTGTTAAAATTATTTTTAACCGTTGCCTCTGTAACGGATGCCTTTTTTTATGCTATAAATATTTATAGTATCAGGTGGAAAGCCACACCTGCCTTCTGTCTGTCTAGTGGCTGTCATAGTGGAGCTCAACACTTTGTCTCTTAACTTTAGTTATCATAATAATGCTAGATGTTTATTTTACACTTGAAATGTAAGATACGTGAATTAAATTATTACATAGACTACAGACAGGCTTCGCTGATAGTAGTAATCTTAGGATAAGATGACTAGGTGTAATACCGATTAGGAAAAAATAAATGTCATGTAGCTTTGTGCGAATGTATGTTTGTCTGTCTTTAGCTTTGACAAAGGGACTATATTGGCATTATAAGCCCTCAAGCTTACTGCTGAGCCACCGGAAGAACTATATGTTTGTATATAATACGTAAAGACAAAGTGAACCTTTTGCTAAACAACTGTCATAACATCATTCCAACTGGAACTAAATACTAGTGATTTCATCATCGACCTATTTAAATATTTGTTCCAAACAACAATTTCACAAAACACTAAAGTGAATCTCAAAACTGTGTGATGTCCTTTAAGATAAATTTCCGAGGTCTCTCTATATACTGTCCCCCAGACTTACAGTGTTAAGATCCGAGGTTCGATTCTCCTGAGAGTGCAGATAGTCTATTGTGTAGCTTTGCGATGAACAACACACTGTTTTCATGGAACGTATTTGGTCATTTTTATCTCGAGTTATATTTAGTTATATTATTTAATATTTGTTAAAACTAATTTAAATAAAAAGATAAATTGAATTCGGAATATGTCCAGTGACATCAAGTTAACGAAAATTCAAGCATTAATGACATTTATATTGGTTGGAATGTCCAATTTAAAATAAGTTCTAAGCTCTGTTTCTATTCCTGAAACAATGTAGTACCCAAGTTTATATACGTTGTATCATGATATTGATAACCTCACAATGTTTAGAAGTTTAGAATAAGGGGGGGGGGGCTAAAACTGCCATAATCAAACCTATCATGCTTCATAATACTTAAAACAAAGTAGATAAACAGTTCAATTAAAATTAAACATTTGTTGTTGTTTTTTTTGCATCTCGGTCCCCCAGTGGCACAGCGGTATGTCTGCGGACTTACAACGCTATAAACCAGGTTTCGATACCTGTGGTGGGCAGAGCACAGATAGCCCTTTGTGTAGCTTTGTGTTTAACTAGAAAAAACAAACCCTTTGCATCTCGACAATAAATATACGTGTTAGTAAAAATGGTACAGGAACGGGTTTCGAACCAAATTTCATTTATCAGATTTTTGGACATCCTGAAAATAAAGATGTCGTATACTAATTATGGGCGAACATTTGTTTTTGTTAAGCACAAAGCTGCACAATGAGCTATATAAGCTGTGCCTAACACTGGTATTCAATACGGTTTTTTAAAGTTATAAGTTTTTAGAACAACTTTCAAGCTAAATTAAAATTAAAAGCATTTTCGGGCAATTAGAAAATCACTAGACTATTAATAAAAATGACTAAGCTAGAAAAAATAGAGTTTATATTGTTAAAACTCAGTAAACCACGTGTCATATTTGGTGAAAATAACACATATATTGTTAGGACAGCGGAAGTCACGTGACACTGGTAACACGTAATGAGTATCTAGAAGGTTCGTGAAGGCTCTATTTTGTATATATAAGACCGGCAAGAAGTGACGGCAAGATAGTTGCAGATAGAGAGATTGAAGATATAGAGACAATTGAGTCAAGCGTGGTAGTGACCGTAAGTAAAGTGCGTGAATCATTGTGAATCATAGTGTGTGTTTAAGTTAATGTGACTGTGGAAATTAAGTGTATTGCAAAGTTTGTAACGAGAAAGAATAAACTAGTTTTATTTAAGAAAGGACTTATATCGCTGAGGTTTCTCGGGAAGAATTTCTAGGGGAAATTAACAAACGAACACAGAGGCGTAACAATATCAAATAGGAAAATAAATAGAAGTTAATAAAGAAATACATAAGTTGGCTCTATCTTTTATCTCCTTCTTGCCTTTAAATAACTCATAATAAACAATTTACAAATCAGTTTTATTTGTCACAATTCGTTAGTTGTGCACTACCATTAACGGACTCTGATGAAATAATTCGACAGTAACGGGCGGCTTTAAAAATTCCAAGTTTCTTGTAAAGTATAAGTAGATGTGTGCAGGAAATAAATTTGTACAAACCTCGTTCTTTCAATAAAAGCAAAAATAATACACTGATCTCAAGTTGGTGTGGTTCTGAAATTGTGTCAGTGTCGTTCTAATTAGGTGAGTTACTCAATTATCAAGTTACTGCTCATGCGCAATGCATGTTCTGTATTTATATATGTGGTATTTATATAATACAAGCTTAACTATGGCATATTTATTTATTTCACGAATTAATAAAAACAGTTATCCAATGCAAAAACCTAGTATTCAACAGAAAAGTAACAGAATACATTACATCGTTACAGCTGTGTTTTTTTTTTCTCTGATCACAAACCCCCAATGGGCTAATTAAGAGAAATTTGAAGAATTAAAAAATCTGTAGCATTATATACAGACTTTTCTCTACGTTAAAGTACTTTTATTTGCGATATTTCGCATGTGAGATGTTTTCCGGGGATGTGGGTTACAAGTAAGTTTTCGTACCTACGACACTAAAATACGGGGTTCGATTATCCCCCACGATTGAGAGAGTGCATATAACCCATTTTGTAGCTTTTCACCAAGGTAACAAAAACTATGCGGGATTTAATTTTTACTGCCATTTTACAACTAAGAAAATATATAAATTTGAATATCCTTTATTTATATGTAATTTTCTAATACATAGGTGACGCTTTTGCTGTTTTTTTCTTCTAATACCAGCCGGTGGTCTGACCTTTTAAAGTTCAAGTTATTTGAACGATATATCTAAGACTAAACAATATTATTTTGATGACTTATTTTGTTTTTGTCTCACTTTAAAATCAAATTACTACAAAAACATGTTTCGAACTGTTCGTATTCTTAAAAATGGCGTCTCGAAGTTTCCACGAAATAACGTTTTAAAGGTCAACTTTTCAAGAAAATGTAGGCCTACATCATGTAAATGGTACAGACTAACATTTATAAATTATATTTATACATAACATACTCCCGTAGTAGCAGTAGTAATTTAATACTTGATCCTTTACTCCTGAAAAAGTGCTAGGATGTAATGATTTTTTAATGTTACTTACCAAATGTTTATTAACTACGTATTTTGAATATCATGTGCAGTAGTACTACTACTAGTAATTAATATAATCTTTTCAGATCAAAATCAGGTTCAAATAAATGTACACTACACTAGTGATAGTTGAGAGGCCTTGGATTAAGGTTATTTTTTAAGGATAATAAAAATAGACCATAACATAGCAAAAAATAAGAAATAACCACCTAGGAAAATAGTATTAATATAAATTTAATTTGTAGTTTTTAATTTCTTTTTCCACAAATGGTAGTGGTATTGTACGTTTTCAACCAATTTTGCTAATAATAATATGGAAGCATATAGTATTTTAGTATTTAAAAATATTTTGTTGTATGAATTTACATTTGAAGTAAATAATGGGTAATGCAATAGTTGTGTGAGGGTTATCTTCTTTGAATGTGAGTCTGTATAAGTAATGACTTAGTTGTGTAAAGCATTGGTCTCACACATGTGAGTCAAAGGCCCAGGGATCAAGCCTAAGTCAGGGTAAATTTCTTAGTCTTTTAATTTGTTATGTTAATGTCATCTGAGCTAACCTGAGTAGGTAGTGATTCAAAATCAAAGTTATCTGTGTAGATGGTTGGTCTAGCAGTTGCTCCTGTTTGTCTGATTGTGTTGTTGCATGTTGGAGGTTTCAGTAATATGGGTTGTGTTATGTATAGTTCAAGTGGAGGGGAATTTTGTAATGATCAAAATGGACGTAGGTACATGCTAGAGACTTGAGTCCTTATAGATCGTTTGATAGTAAATTGGTCTCAGGACTCCAGTGTGTGTTTAGGATCTTGCATACACATCTTAGAATAAATTTCTTAACTTCATGATTCATTATAACTGGTTTGTATAGAGATAGTTATCTCTTTTGACTTGTAATTTATATATCCATAAATGCACGCTTTGGTTTCACTACTGGTAACAGAGTAATGACCTGAATGAGTTATTTACCATTATACAAATATCCTTTTCTTCAGTAACTATTGAGTAGGTTTCCATTTATATTAAACATATAATCAAACTTGTGAAAACATAGATGCACCGCCTCGTATTTACAGTAATTAAATGTCATTTGTAAAATATTTGTCCATCTTACCAGTTGATCCGAGTCATGCTGTTACTAGTAGTTGGGCAAATAGGATTTTAGGTTGTATCTACAGAAATATTGAATATAAGTCTCACGTGGTTATGATGTCATTGTATAGGTCACTGGTTAGGCTACATTTGGAATATTGTGTTCAGTCTTGGGCTCCTTACTTTAGAAAAGACATTGAATTGTTGGAAAGGGTTACTAGAATGGTCCCTGGGGTGGAGGGGTTGTCATACAAGGAGAGGCTGAAATCTCTCAAGTTGTTTTCTCATGAAAAAGAAGAGTTAGGGGGGATCTGATTGAGGTGTTTAAGATTGTAAAGGGAATTGATAATGTTGATGTATCATCTTTTTTTTCATATTTAACAGTGAGGATAGTAGGGCTATGGAACACAAATATAAATTTTGGCAAGGTAGGAGTCATCTTCAGCAAAGACAGTTTCATTTTTATAACAGAGTGGTTGACCTTCTGAATGAGTTGTCTTCAGATGTTGTAGAGGCAATAAATTTAAGTGAGTTTAAGAAAAAGCTTGATAAGTATATGAATGGTAAGGGCTGGCTTTAAGATTTTTTTTTAAATTATTTTAATTTAGTTTAGAGGCTGGAACAGTCGAGATGGACCAATAAGTCCTATGTTGTCCCAAAACATTATGTTATATGTTATGTTATTCTGTAATACTTAAATATCCTTAATCAGCAAACTTCTAATTGTGGCCATATGAATATCATTAATGTAAATAAGAAAAAAGCCTAAGCACTGACCACTGTGGTACTACACTAGTAAAAAGGGTCCAGTTTGACTGAACTTCACTAAAAGTAACCTTTTGTCTTCCCCCATCCCACAGTCCAATTAACCACATTTTCCCCAACTAACACCATTGTGATTTTTCTTAACTAATCTTTTGTGTAGTATGATGGAAAGCATGTGAACTTGGTGTACTTAGATTTTTAAAAAGCTTTTTATAAAATGCAGATAAGTAACATCCTTAATAAAAAAAAAGATAACACACTAGTAAGCAAGATTTGTGTTTGCTTTCTCTGGGACTTGGAAGCATTTGAGGAGGCTTGATTTAGGTATGAGAAGTTAGAAGTTTAGATAGCCTTCTACAGTTGGGGGGGTCTGTTTAGATGCTGGAAGTATCTTCACTGGTATTAAGGTTATTTGGTTGAAGCTGTAAAATCCTTATTGCATGACATATTCTCTGGAAGAATTGTTTTTTTTTTTGGTTAGATTTATAGTTTGTAAATGGTTGGTAGTGTTTCAGTTTAAATGTTTGTGTGAAAGTTTGTATGTATATTAGATTATTTCTTGTGAGTAAGGGATAACCTCTATGCTTTGAGGCCTTGTGTGATTTTATTAATATTTAAATGGTCTGTGTGACCATGTTTCTAAGCTTGTCTCAAATTTGATTTCACAGAGTTATTGCCACACATTGAGAAAGAGTTTTGATAACTGAACTTTAAGAATGTTACCTTAAAATCTATTTTTGTTTAAATTGTGATTAAACTAAAAGAACGTTGATTTATTTTTATTCATAAAAAAATTTCATGGTTATATTGATTAGACATAAGAAAAATTACTTATCCAAAGTCTCTTTACTGCATAAGACAATTTTTCTATAAATAAATTTCTTTTGTTCTATTTCATAGCGAAGAAAAAAAGAAGCTGGCATGGGGTTCACTATATGTTTTAGATAAATTCATAAATATTAATCTTATTGATAATACTGTTTATTTAATTCATTCTTTTATTCTTATAATTCCTGAAAAATTAGTGAATTTCTTCAGTAGTTTATATGTTTTTATAGGATCTGCTCAGACAACGTAGAAATATCAAATACTGACTTGGCATTCACAAGAGACAGAGCATTCTACAACAGACCCACATGGCTTACTCGCTTGTACAGTTCAGGTATGTTCATATCTTGAAAATTCAAACTTTTGGATGTGGTTTGTATTTACATTTGGGGTTAGAAAGCTGTGAAAAATTATTAAATAAATGTGACATCCCTTGCTGTTCCGATTCTTTACCAATTTTCAAGCATACTGGGGGTTTACTCTCCCATTTCAATTTCTGTGTTGACAAAGGATAATTGTAACTATACCAGAATTGTAACTTGACTTTCACTGAAGCATGTACATTACTGGACAGAAATTTCAAGAAGTCTTGTTAATACAATTAAACTTAATAAGTTTTGTAGTTATTAACCTATGTAGCATTACATTTTGGACACTTTTACATTAATTGTGTAATGATAAATTTTAATACAAGTTAGTAAACGTTGTTGTGTTGTGAACTATATTTTTTAGTCATAACAAAAAGATTTGCTTTAAATTTATGTTTGAACAGTTCATTGTTTAACTCGTGTGTTGATTTGCTTTAGACAAAATATTTTTCTGTGTTTCATTAACATATTTTAATTGGGTTAAAAACAATGTTCAAAATGTTTTTTTTCTGTGTTTCATTAACATATTTTAATTGGGTTAAACAAATGTTAAAAGAAGTCATATTTCATTCATAAAGACATAATGGACTGCAGCGCAGTGTCATGTTTGGAATTTTACTTGTATTAACAGTAATATGAAATGATAATAAAACTTAATATTGATTAATTGTTAGGCTCGGATTTGCCTCCTCACCACAAGGTTGCCCTACCAGCATTGTCTCCTACTATGGAGATGGGGACAATTGTTTCATGGGAAAAGAAAGAAGGAGACCAGCTAAATGAAGGAGATTTGTTAGCAGAGATTGAAACAGACAAGGCTACAATGGGGTTTGAAACACCAGAAGAAGGATATTTGGCTAAGATTCTCATTCCTGTAGGATCAAAAGATGTACCTATAGGGAAGGTAAGACATTTAAACAAGATAATACTAAGATGGAAGAAAGATATTTATAGGAACTTTTAATTTTGGAAAACTAAATCAGAAAAATATGAAGTCTCACCCTATAAAAACCACCATTACTCAGACATTGCAGTAGGCTAATACTTACATCATTCAAAAAATGCTCTGTATTTTCCTTTTGACGATTTTGTTTAACCTATGCGCACAAATGTATTGCATATCTTCTTATAATAATGGGCAGATTGTATGATAGTAATATTAAATATTTTACTATTTTTTACTTAGTTAAATATATATAAACTTTATTCTGGTGTTACTTACAGTATTGGTGAAATTGGACTAATAGCCACAGAAAATCAGGGAAGTAAAGTTCTCCATGTCATGGAATATGAAATAACAATATGGAAATAAAAAATAGTGTAAACTCTTTTATAATCACATGGAAAAAAACTTAAGAAGATATTTTTTTTATCTAGTGCTGTTGTTACTTTAAATGTAAGCTTTTCCTGAAAATCTAAATATTTTACAATACTAGCAGAGATAAGCAAAACAGTTGTGGTCAAATTAGTATATTTATTGCAACAGTACTTTAAATACAGGATTTCTAGAATAATACAATATAATTCTAACAATACAGTATAATTCTAATAATACAATATAATTCTAACAATACAGTATAATTCTAATTGCAGATGCTGAAATCTGTAGGTTACAGTTGTCTTAGGCCTAATACTAGTTACGTCATTATTAAGTACGGCCTATATTAGATAAAGTGATAAATTAACACTGTAACTTGTATATGTTTCTTGCTTTAGTTTAGTTAGGGATAAACTTTACCATACTTAATACTATCAATAAATAAACTAATAATGTTATTCTACAACCTAACCTTAAACCTTTTGAAAAACTTTGACAAGTTTTTTAATATGTTGTTGTACAAAATGCCCAATAAAGTATATTTACATCCACCTTTTGTTTACATCCGTTGAAATGTGTACACATGCACTTTTAGACAGTAGGGTACATGTGCATTTTCAGGACAGACAATAACTGAGTATTATTATATAGTAGATACATCATAAGCTATGGCAACATTTAGATTGGCTGCCTTGACTGTACTAAAGTGTGAGGTAAAATGTACCTACTTAGGGTGTGACCTCTTACAACATGATAATTTTTGTCAGGGGAAAGGAATGTAAAGATTTGTTTGGGAACTCTGACTTGAAGTACCATGCCCCGTTAATGATTATTTATTTCTTCTAAAAAGCTTCACATACTATTCTATTTATAATCATACATGTAATTAATATTAGTTTTATACATGTAATTTGTTAGCACTTAAAGAATGTATTCTTAAAACTGTTGAACAGTAACTTCTTTTAGACCCAAACAGGAAGTGTGATCAGCTTGGACACTGCACTGAGAGGCTGCACATTAGTGAGGAGGAACTTTGCCCCTCCCCCACCACTCCGCCCTCAAGTTTGGTATTCATGTGTTATTTCAAGATATTATAAATGACATATTTTGTAGTAACTTTGCAAGTGGCAAAAAGAATGAAAGTGCTATTTTTAAGAAGCCAAAATAAATAAAGTTGATTGTTGTTGTGAAATTAGCTAATTTGTTTTGACAGACTTAAATTTAACTTCATTTTTCAGCTTCTGTGTATAATAGTGGAAAGTGAGGATGATATTGCTGCCTTTAAAGATTATGTGGATTCAGGAGAACCAATCACATTAGCAGATGCTGCTCCTAAGCCAGAAAGTAAACCAGCGAAAGCTCAACCACCACCGCGTCCACCTCAGCCTGCAGCTCCAACCATTGCCACGCCCTCTGTTGCTCCACACACTCAACCATCAACACCTCCAAGTGGAAGACTGTTTGCAAGCCCTCTTGCGAAGAAACTTGCAGCTGAAAAAGGCATGGATATATCTGTAAGTTCCAGTCTATTTACAAATGGGTGTTTTATTCATGATTGAATTTTTTTTGAACAGGTATCAGTGTGTTACTTAAGGATGCACCAGTTTTAAGGTAGATGAAAAATGTCAGAAAGAGTGACCTGCTTGAAACTGATTTCTCATAACCATTTTTTTTTTTCAAAGTCAACAAATGGAGAAAACATATTAGTACATAGATTACATAATTCTTCCATTTTAAATAATTGTAATAGTTTTCATTAATTAGTAAAGTCAGTAATTTGATCTAGTATTATATACTATCCACATGAATCCCAACAACTTTCTTGGTTATATATCTTTTTACGTAATAATTACAAATTTATATCAGTTCATGTAATTGTGAAGCAGAAACCCTGGATCAGTATGACACTGTTGTTTCCACATAGACCCCATACTATCATTGACTATCACTATACATGTAGTTTGCCCTATAGCATAAAAAACAAATTTCTAAACATTTATTTCACAATATAGGCTGTTATAGAGGATAATCCATCAAAGTAGTACAGTATCATCTGGTCTGTTTGTTTATAACATCATTGTGATAAACATGTATGTGTATCTCATTCCTCAACAAGTGTTTTCTGTGATGGCTCCTCATAATGTCCTATTTTATAGAAACCTTGTTTGCTATTTATTTGAGAAAAATGTAAATAAATTATACAGTACTGTGCTAAAAGTTTTTGCAGCTAAACCTACACTTAGAAGTTGAGTAAATGTTGTTTATTTTATTGTATTGTAAACACCTTTCCACTTGTTGATTATGTGTGTCGTATTTATTCTGTTTTGTAGTTGTGTTTTAGAATATTAAGTTATTTTTTGTTCTTAATTGCTTGAATTTTAATAAATCTGTTGTATAATAGATTAATTAATCCTTAACAGGAAGTTGTGGGGTCTGGTCCTGGAGGCCGGGTAACTAGTCAGGACATTCAGTCTTTTATTCCTGCTGCTACTGCTGCGGTCAGGGCTCCTGAAGCACAAGTAACACCACCAAGTGCTGATTATGTTGATATTCCACTGACTAACGTGAGGAAAGTAAGTAAACTTAAAGTTTGTTTTCTTTCTACTAATTGCTCTGGTGAGAAAGGGATAGTGTTACGATTCTTCACATTATATTTGGATTATGTTAGTGGACTAAAGGTGCAGTTTGCTCACGTCCTAATGTAAAGCACTTACAGTAAGGTTGTGATGATCAGATATCAGTCTTAGTTGTAGTTAGTAGTCTATACCATCACCTAGGTCTAAATAGTAATTGTTATTGAATATTTACTAATAATTAGCTTATTTTAAGGTGCTGTCTTTTTTATTCTTGTGCCAGGTCATTGCTCGTAGACTGTTGGAATCAAAGCAAACAATACCACACTACTACTTAACTATCGATATCGACATGGAGGAAGTGTTAAAGTAAGTGTGGTAACTGGTTATAAAAATTTTCATTGTTAATACTGTTAATATGGAGGAAGTGTTAAAGTAAGTGTGTACAACTGGTTATAAAAATGTTCACTGTTAATACTGTTCACATGGAGGAAGTGTTAAAGTAAGTGTGGTAACTGGTTATAAAAATGTTCACTGTTAATACTGTTCAAACAGTATTAACAGTGAACATTTTTATAACCAGTTACCACACTTACTTTAACACTTCCTCCATGAATATGGAGGAAGTGTTAAAATAAGTGTGGTAACTGGTTATAAAAATGTTCACTATCTGTTAAGTTTCCCATTTTTAACACTTGATTTGTAGTGTCTGTTAAGATTTCCAGTTTGACACTTGAGTTTAAGGAACTGTTAATGCAGGTGGTTCTGGGTTGTTTTAGTGAGTGTTGGTTGTAATCCTGGTGTTAACACCTTTCACGTCATAGAAGTTTGTAGTAAGATTGATGCTTATAGAATTCACTGTGGTAATGCTTCATTATGTAATACTAAACTGAGGATAGCCAAGGAGTAGGGACTCCAGTCTTTATTCTCTGCACGTGAAGAAGGTGTCATAGTAACGAGAACTGGAAGATTTCTAGACTATTTACAACTATATTCATTTGAGAGATAAATTGTCGAAGCTTCTAATGTTAATAGAATTTGTGTGGTGGGAAATACTGGAATTTGTAGTAGAAACAGAAATAGAAAAAATGTTTACTAATTATGTACAGGTTTCCTAGCAGCCAGGAAAAATAAAATCTTGGAATAAAAATTCTTCTTCCAGTCTAAAAAGTTTTAGATCAGATTAAGAAAATTTTGTACTTTACTAATTGTTAGAGAATTTTTCAAAAAGAGTTAGTTCTGTATGTAGAAGCCTTTGGATACCAAATATGTACAATATTTGTACACTTATTTTACGATATATTTTACAATATCTGATTTATCACGGTGTTATTTCTGAAGACTTTAAAGTAGGAAAATATTAAAAGAAGCCCCACGCCCCCTAGTGGTACAGCTGTAAATCTGAAGACTTATAACTCTAACAACTGGGTTTCGACACCCATGGTGGACACAGCATAGATTACCCAATGTGTATATTTTTGCTTAAATAGAAATATTAGAACAAACAGAAGAGATGATAAAGGGTAAGGGGGTGATTTATGATAATTGTTTTTATATTTTCATCAGTGAAAGATACCAAGTCAGAGAATTTTCTTTGCCTTACAGTAAGGAAACTAGGTATACTAAAATTGAGTTCTTAAAAAGTTTTAAGTTTAAGATGACAGAATTTGAAACTAGTATCATTTTATGATGTGTTTAGTAATACATTTTTAAATATATATACACACAATACAGTATTGTAAAACTAATTTTCATCTTATTAAGGTTGAGACAGGAACTGAATGATTTGTTGAGGAAAGATGAAATCAAACTGTCGGTCAACGACTTTGTAATCAAAGCTGCAGCACAAGCATGTAGAAAAGTACCTGAAGTTAATTCATCGTGGCAGGATACTTTCATTAGACAGTAAGTTTTCATTCTTGTTACTGATCTTAGGCAAGAACCATTCGTTACATAGTTAGTTGATGTTTTTTCCTGCTACCAGAAGCCAGTGTATCTTAGCAATATTAATTTCATTAGCCAGTTTATGTGGTTTTACTGTATTGAGAATCAGCTTGTCTTAGCCATATTATTTTGTGAATAAGAACTTGTGAGTGAAAGTCAAGAAGAATGTGTAATAACAACGATACACCTGCTATACCTAGTGCATAAGAAGACTTCAGCTTATCTTAGCTGTATTATTTCGTGAATAAGAACTTGTGAGTGAAAGTCAAGAAGAGTGTGTAATAACAACGATACACCTGCTATACCTAATGCATAAGAAGACCTTCTCCCAATACCAGCTCTTCAGGTCGGCTGGGATATGACAAACATAGAAGTGGTTAAGATGCTATTAAAAGTAGCAAACTGCTTGGCGACAGCTTTTATGTTGTGTACTGGATTATGTTAGTGAAGTGTAAATTTTCATCAATCTTACTTATCTCACAACAGAATTAGGGTTAAGAATACTTTATTAATACCATTTACTATTAATTGTTATTTTCTTCACTTAACCTGCTTACTATTCAGAAGATCTAATGAGCACAATTCATGTACCTGTTTGTTGCCACTAAGTTCATGTACATCTTGCAGCGGGATTTATCTTACTGATCATCTTGTGAGTATAACAAGATTCTGTCATCAAAACAAGATTTACTTTAGCTCCCAAATTATTGTTTTGAGAAGTTATACTAAATCATATATTGTGTACTTAACTCATATTTGTAGCTACAACCCTCAACCAACAATTTCAAATAAGAAATGCATTTACAATGGTTTCAAAAGTTAAAATATTTGTTTACTAAATTTATAATTTGTTTGACTTTTGGTATCAATAAGTATCACTATGAGTATGTTATAAGTTTTGCACTACATTTGTTGTAAGTAAAGTACACCATTTTCCCAGTTTGCCCATGAAGAAGAAAGGTCCACCTTTCGAAAGCACTCGGGTTTTTATTAATTTTCTTTTCAGAAATAGCTCGTAGAAACAAGTAAAAATAATATTACTTACATACATCAGAACTAAAGTTCATTTATAAAACTTTTCTTCTTTTATAAAAAATACATGTGGTCTATTTATTCAGGTACAATAACATTGATGTGAGTGTGGCAGTCAGCACTGATGCAGGATTGATTACACCCATCATTACTGGTGTTGAAAAGAAGGTAAGCCTGACGAGAAATTCCTTAGATCAATGTGTGGCCCATCGAGTGATTTGCAATGTTATATGTAAGATGCTGAGTATTATAAGCTTCTTTTCCATGCCATTGACAAGTCAGTTAAATACTCTTCCTTAAACTTATGTAGTGTGACGTAGATCTTCACACTGTTTCTTTCTTGTACATCAGTCGCATCAAATGGACAAGAAGCAAGTTAGGCTCAACTAAATTCATTGTATTAGCCTTACAACACTATTCATTTAATATTGTCATCGTTCGTATTTGCCTTACAACACTATCCATTTAATATTGTCATCGTTCGTGTTAGCCTTATAACGTTATTCATTTAATATTGTCATCGTTCGTATTAGCCTTATAATGTTATTCATTTAATATTGTCATCGTTCGTATTAGCCTTATAATGTTATTCATTTAATATTGTCATTGATTGTACTAGCTTTATAACACTATTCATTTAATATTGTTATCATCGTATTAGCCTTATAACTATTCATTTAATATTGTTATCATCGTATTAGCCTTATAACTATTCATTTAATATTGTCATCGTTCGTATTAGCCTTATAACACTATTCATTTAATATTGTCATCGTTCGTATTAGCCTTATAACACTATTCATTGAATATTGAAACTGGAGTGAAGAGATCTCAGTAATGGAGGATTTTCATCAGAAATTGAATATGTCAGAAAACTTATTTTGTTAGGCTCCTGTAGCCTTCTGGTATTCTGTCTGCATCACATCATATTTTGCCACTTGTGTATATAAATAAAGCTGAAAAGTAACTTCTGTTTCCTCATGTAAGCATTTCAGTTACTTAATCGAGGAATGTTTCGAAACTTAAATTACAAACAAATATACACACGTGGTTTTATTTGAATTTTTATAACAAACAGCATACAACTGTGTCTACTGCAAATAGAAAACACTAATTATCATTGTATTAATCATTGTACACACAAAGTAGCATATAATGGCAAGAAACTGTTACAAGAGGCCAAGTTTATGTCTAACATAAATTAGAAAAGAAATTATTATCTTTTGTGCTACTGGGAACATTAATAGCTGAAATCTGTGTTAGATTCCTGTAATTAAAAATTATACAGAAGTAGAGATTAAACAACAATTTGAAGCATAAGGAGATAAACTTTGTTACTGTTAGGATCTGTCTATTTATTGAGGAAATATGTATGGTTACCAGTAGCAGTAGAGCAATTATTAGATAAGATGTATAGCTTTTATGTCTAAATTTTGTGAAATTCATGTTAGGTAGTGAAAAATATATCCTTTACTGTGTGGTAATTTTAATATTTCCTCCACCAGGTGAGTCGTGTACATATCGAACTAACTCACTCTTTAATTTAATAACTTACCACAAGTGTCTTGTTTACAACTAGTATTAATTATTGTAGGATTATAAAAAGGAAAGGTTCCATTAATATTTGGGGAATAAATTCTCTGCAGTGACTTAAACTCCGAGTTGAAACTAGGCATCTGAGTGTCCACTGAAAGTCGTATTTGTAAATGCTATAACATATCCTTTTGGTCGTTTTGCTACACCTTTACTGCTTTGTGCCCTTGGTAGCTGCCTTTAGATATCTTTGTTCCTTTGTAGATAACGTGGTAATAAACTAACACAATATCACATGTAACAGTTAAAAAGTTAGCGAAAAATTGAACAAACTGTCAGAAGACTTCAAATGAAAGAAACTACTTCCGGCTTAAAACATCAGGAGGTTAAACTATCTAAGCAGAAGTAAATGCTCTTTGAACATGAGTTTAATTCTATAAATATAGATCATCAAGATGTTTACTGTCCAACAAAAATAAGTAGTGTTTGAACATGATTTTAATTCTATAAATATAGAACATCAGGATGTTAAGATATTAGCTTACTGTCCAACTGGGGGTCACCATTCTTTGAACAAGATTTTAATTCTACAAATACAGATGATATTATTAGGGCATGATAGATGGTGAAGCAAACTTTTAATTTCATGTAATCACTGAGGGAAAACTCAACAAATCGTGAACATTAGACCAAAATGTTTGAAGTTTTTTGTTTTTTTTATTTTATCAGTTTAAAAACCTATAGTGACCTGACACCTCGTGAATTGTAAGGAAAGAGTATCTCTGCCAACCTTCCAAATATCCCGACTGTGTAACAAATGAAATTGTTTCAATGTTTTTATTTCTCCAATCACCTGAGTTTTTGACAGTTGGGATAAAGTAGATATGGAAGTCACTGTTTATGTGTCTTAAACTAAGGGATACTGTTTGGAAAATACTCATCAATTGTGCTTATCAAAACTTTTAAAATCCTAGATTAGTATGAAATATTTATATATATTTTTTGTATTTCTTTAGTTTGTAACTTTTTACATTTTTTGTGCTAGTAAAACATTGTGCATTATTTAGTATTTGCATTAAACATTAACTTTCGCCCGAAACGAGCTACCTACTTAGATCAGAAATCCCACAATCAACCCAGTAATGAATATAGTTATTTAACTATACAGTTTTTACATTTAAAGATTTGAATGCATTGTTTTATCAGTTGAATATCCTTGCTTTGAATGTTATTCTTAGTTGCAAACCCAATAATACTGTATCTCTGTCTAGCAGAGTGAAGGGGATAGCTCTTCTGAAAAGACAAACATTAGGTTGTGAAGTTAGGAAAGGTTCTGTTGATTGTTTTAAAATATTTATTAAATTAGTAACTTGTTATTACTAGGGTCTGACAGCAATCAGTACAGACATGAAGACTCTAGCGAAAAAAGCTCGGGAAGGAAAACTTCAACCCACGAGTTCCAGGTGTGTTACATATTTAGTACATTACTTTAAAATAAAATGTTGTAATTCCATTACATAAGTTTTGATTACATCTAATTATCCCGAAGGTTAGATATGCATTATATGAAGAATATCTAAAGAGAAAATAACAAATATATTTTTGAATTTGTCTGATAAATTGTGATAAAAAATTCCCAGTAAAATGTGTTCAAAATTAAAATCAACAAAACAGAAGTTGTTGTTTAACAATATACTTCCTTCAAAAATAACCATAGTAAAGTTTTTAATAAGATGTTAAGTTCAAATCAATTAACTTTTAAGCAGTTTTAAAACCTAATAGCTTTTTAATAAAGGCAGATAGATTAGAAACAGGCCATAAAGTACCCCTTTGGGTTTTATACCATCTGTACGTGGCCTCCATCAACTTCGATGCCCTTCTCTTTCTTTCACATTTGTGAATCAAGAAACTATATTCTCTCGCTGTGGGTAGATTAAAGTGTGCATGTCATGATTTTTTAAAGAATTACATTCAAAATTTAATTAAAGAACTTTATTATCATGACATATGAGCATACTTGATATCAAAACATAGTTAATAACTCAAAGTTTATTATAAGTTCTTAATTTCATAAGAAAAGATTAAACAAATCCTCAGTCTTCCCTAGCATAAGAACTGTGACATTTACTCTCCTCATCTCTAATATATTTACCAACCCTCTATGAAGTACAGAATTTAACGTAAATTACTCAGTATAATATAGGTATTATTCAGGCAAAGCAAACTTTTTTATAGCCTTCATTCTTATTTGTTTACGGAGCTATAAATTAGAAAATCAGACCCCTCTTGCCACGCCCACCTCCTCTCTTTCACAAATTGCCAATAGTTTTCTCTGATGTTTAATACTATATTATTTATAACCAATAAAAAGACAAAGTTTTAATCAATCAAATGACTTGTATTACATTGTTTTCTGTATAGAGAATTGTCAATTTTGCTTCCAGTTCAAACTTTATTCCAGGGGGAACACGTCAATGAAAATAATGTATACAGCTCTCTTAATATCTGAAACTGTTTGTTTTGGTTTCTTTTTTCCAGGGTGGCACTTTTACTGTCTCTAACTTAGGAATGTATGGAATCAAAAGTTTTGCTGCAGTAATAAATCCTCCTCAGGTGAGACAACTTACACGTGGTAATTTAGTTGTATATATATCTTGTAATGTAATACTCATATTTTAATGATGTTGGATGTGACAGTAAAGTATTGAAGATAAGAGTTGATCATTATGTAACATAATCCCAAAAAAATCACTTTTTCATTCTGTATTGAAACCATTGATTTAGCTTTTGGCCGTTTTGTAGTTGAACACTGTCATTAAGAACTAATTAGAATATAATCAATTGAAATAGTTTTGTGGAAAAATTCAGTTTAGAAAATAAATGTTGTAAACTATAATTATAATACTTTGGATATTGAAAAGTTAACATTGGATATATCTGTATTTATAAGCTAAATACTGTGTTAGTTGGGCCTATAAGAAACACAAGTTAATTCTGTTGTCAACTGAAAGAAAAGATGTTGTTTGTAGGAAATAACACAATGTTGACCAACCTGCAAAAAAAAAAAAGA